TCCAGAAAAAAATATTCCCCTAGTAATCTCACATACCCCGAACCAAACGCACAGTGTAAAATAAGTGTCTAAATTATAGACTAAATTAATTTTAAGAGTTTAAAGATTTTTAATTAAAAATGCGTATTTTATGTTTTCTCTATTATATTTTTAGATGTCTAGCATTTTCTATTACACTTTTAGGTACGTATAAGTAACAACCGTTGAAAAAATTGTTAAGTAACACGTGTCATATTTATTTTTTTACTTAATGGAAAAATAAGTACTTAAACTATCCTAAGTTAACTTTAAGTGTTTAAAGAAATCTTTGCTAAGAATAAGTGTTTTACGTTTTTGACGATACACTTTTAGGTGCCTAGACTGTAACGACTGTTAAATTCAATCGTTATTTGACATGTATTACGTTTTATTTTTTTCATCTTTATTTTATTTAAAAATATTTTTTTAAAAATTCCTTCCTCCCGCCTACGCAATTTCCTTACATATGCAAAATAATTTCACCCTCCCTAATTGCATTCAGAAACCCACTTCATGATCTCTATAAATCCTTGAAGTTAATTTAAGGTCATAATGATAAATTTGGAATCAAAGCTAGGGATTTGGGTATTAAGTTTAGGGATTTAAGTTTAAATTTATGAATTTAAAGGGATTGTGACAACAACAAAAAGGATGGCCATCAACGAAAGTGACACCCTAAAATTTGGGGTTAATTTTTTTTATAAAGTTAAAATGTTGGGTGCCCAAGGAAATGTTGAACAAGTATCAGAAGACTTCCACTCCTGTAGGACATATATGTTCCGTAAAGTCAAAATCCAACTTTGCTATATCCATCTTCATTTATTCTATGTCTCTTTCTGCAAGTAGTACAATCACTCCACCGCCAACACTTTTATTTGCTATTGCTAGTTGCTTCAAAAGTGAATCCTACCATAAAAAAATAATATTTCATAAACCATAGTGTTACTATCTCTTACAAGATTAAAATTAGAGATTCAGAACTCTTTTAATTTTAGGAGGTTCTGAAATTTACGTGAAAGTTTATCTTTTGGATTGATGGGAATTTTATTATTAATATTATAACTTGGAAAATAGTGAACCACACACTTGAAAGATATTTTGGGGAACAGTGTAAGACTTGGTGTTTCTTAACCAAGGTGTCAGACCAACCATGGGCACTCTAAGGTCTAGAACCCCAAAAGCTTCATCAAAATAATCAGAAAACAAAATGCGATGTCCGGCATTTATTCTTCTTGCATGTACTGGAAACTGTAAGCTGTAGACATGCACGTACAATAGCATGGCTATAGCATGTGGATAGTTTCGGTTATATTTGGCGCCAGAGTTTGTTAGATTGTTAGAGCAGTTATTAGCTCAACACCAGCTATAAAGCTGGCATACTTGTGAACTGTAAAGCAAGAAGAAATATACTGATCTTTGTATTCTGTTCTTCAACATGGTATCTTTCGCCGATCGATCTTGGGTTTCTTAATTCACGACTTCTGTCTGTGCATCTTGGTTTGGAGCTTCATGGAGTCGTTCACACGTACCGGCTTCTCTCACAAGAGAATCAATGTCGTTCTTGATGAGACAAATTTCCTCCTGTGGAAGCAGCAAATCCTGCTCACGGTAAGGAGCCACAGACTTGAACGTCTGCTAACTGGAGTGCTCAGGCCACCACCGGAGACAATACTCGATGACTCTGGGGTAACTCGTGCCAATGATGCATTCGAAGATTACGTAGCGCAGGATAGTGCGCTGGCCTCTTGGCTTCTATCAACCATCAGTTCTCCTCTGCTTCCTCACTTCGTGGGTGCTGAATCTGCAGCCGATGTGTGGAATATTGTTCAACAACTTTTTGCGAGCAGATCCACGACTGCTGCCATGAGTTTGCATTGCAAACTACAGTCACTCCAGAAAGGTAATGAAAGTATGCGGGTATACCTTACTCGAGTGAAGGAAGTGTGCGACGCACTAGCATCGTGTGTGGCAGCGCTTTCACATGTTGGCCATGTTGCAAGCATTTTGAAAGGCCTGCCTAGGGAATATCAACCATTTATGGCTGTCATTACCACAATGAAGGAAACGTTATCTTTGGATAGTTTACATACTGTTCTGTTAGATGCTGAAGCACAACTGGCCGGGTTTGATGAGCAATTAGATCACGTACCTATGGCCGCCAATATAGCTGAAAGAAAGGAAGTTCATGATTCGTCTTTTAATGGGCGTCGAGACTCTAAAAACATACGCCCATCGACTGTCAACAGAACTGGTGGTCAAGGTCGAGGCCGAGCCAAAGTTCAATGCCAACTTTGCGGCAAAGTTGGTCACATGGTAGATCGTTGCTGGCACCGGTTTGATGAGGAATTTATGTGTGTGACGTTTGACTCTCAAACTCACAATACTCGTAAAAGTCAGTCTATCAACGCTCATTACTCGGCTGCTGATACTTCGAGACTCGGCTGTGAATGCTGCAAGGGCCACTCCCAAGAAGCAGGCAGTATGCAAGCCAACACTGCTTCTAGATTTAACGACCACTGGGTGGTCGACTCTGGAGCCACGCATCATATTACCCCAGATGCAACAAATGTTTCGAACACCACTGAATTTCGAGGTCCAGGTAAACTAACTATCGGAAATGGGGCCTCCATTGATATTCATAACATTGGTACTGCTCAACTTCCTCTTACTACTAACTCGTCAAGAACCCTGATCTTGAACGAGTTGTTACATGTACCTTATATAACCAAAAATTTGCTTTCCGTATCCAAGCTTGCTAGGGATAACAAGGTTTATCTTGAATTCCATGCTGAAAGATGTCTTGTTCGTGATGAACGTTCCAAGGCGATCTTACTTCAAGGTGTTGAGAAAGGTGGTTATATGTGTTTCGCTGAGCGGGCTTGATGCAGAAAAGAAGACTGCTGAAGCTAACATTGCATCTGCCTCTCAATCTGATGTGGCATCGACGGTTGGGGCATCCAGCTAGTTTTGCGTTTAGTAAAGTTGCAAAAGAACTTGATGTAAGACTTGACCTTGATGTTAATAAAACTTGTGTGGCTTGCTTTATGGGTAAAAGTCACAAGCAACCGTTTCCTTCATCAAGTACCCAATACAGTGCACCATTTGAGCTAATTTTTCTGATCTTTGGGGACCTCCCCATGTTGCTTCTAATGGTTATAGGTATTATGTAACGTTTATAGACGCCTTTACTCGTTTTACTTGGCTTTATCTACTCAAAGATAAAGCTCAAGCAGTTGAAGCATTCAAGGGATTTCACAAGTTAGTTACAAATCAATTCGGTGGCTCGATTAAAGCGTTGCAATCAGATTGGGGTGGAGAATATCGAGTGTTTTCTGTCTTACTTGCTAAATCCGGGATAGTGCATCGACTGACCTGCCCTCACGTCTGAGCAAAACGGGGGGGGTCGAACGCAAGCATCGCCATGTCGTTGAGTTAGGTCTTGTACTGCTTGCCCAAGCTTCGTTGCCTTTGCAATACTGGTCATATGCCTTCGTAACTGCTGTTCATCTCATAAATCGTCTTCCAACATCTGTTCTTGGAGGGATTACACCATACGAGAAGTTGACTCAAAGAAAACCGGATTATGCTTATCTCAAGGTCTTCGGATGCCAGTGCTTTCCACATCTCAGACCCTTCCAGAATAACAAACTATGTTTTCGATCACAATCTTTATTTCTTGGCATTAGCCCTCGACACAAGGGTTACCAGTGCTTGGCAAACAATGGTAGAGTATACATCTCTAGGCATGTGGTATTTAACGAATCTGTTTTTCCATTTGCAGAAAAAAACGCAGCCTGTTCATCACATGGTTCGCAGGGTGTTTGCTTGCAAAATATTTCGATTGTAGCTGATGTAAAGAAGTTGAGTCTTGATGCTATGTCTACAAACCATCAGGATGCTGCAGTTGTTGAGGACAGTGATGAACAACAGTGCCAGAATATGGTTGAATCAAATAACAACAATGTTGGGACCACACAAGGTGAAGGGTTAATTCCTATAGCTGGCTCGGGGGCAGAATTCAATGCGCCTGTTGTAAATGATACTGATGCAGTAACTAGCTCAAATCGAGAGCATGAAGAATTGGTGTCACCTACTGTTGCACCTACTTTACCAGTGATGGAAAGTCATCATCCGATGATAACACGCAGTAAAACGTGGTATTTACAAACCCAAGTTGTATTCTATTCATTTGATAATGAGATTCCCTCCTCGGTACAAGAGGCGCTACAGACGACCGAGTGGAAGGAGGCAACGCAAGCCGAGTTCGAAGCACTTCAAAGGAACAATACGTGGGAACTGGTCAAATTGCCAGAAGGTCGCACTCCTATTGGGTGCAAATGGTTGTTTAAGCTAAAGCGTAACCCTGATGGTTCTATACACCGCTATAAGGCACGACTAGTTGCGAAAGGCTACTCGCAAATACCAGGACATGATTTCCTCGATACATACAGCCCGGTTGTTAAGTTCGCCTCCCTTAATGCAATCTTGGCACTAGCAGTGTCTAATAACTGGGAATTGAGACACATTGATGTGAACAATGCCTTCCTCAATGGTGATCTTACTGAGGATGTATTCATGAAGCAACCACCAGGATTTGAACAATTTACTGAAGATGGATCTACACTGGTCTGCAAGCTTCAAAAGGCCTTGTATGGACTGCGCCAGGCGCCCAGGAATTGGCACGCTAAGCTCCGCAACAGCCTTGTACAGATGGGTTTTACAGCTTCACGAGCAGATGCATCCTTCTTTGTTTGCAAACGAGATACTGGCAATGTGTATGCATTAGTATACGTTGATGATATCGTCATTACGGGGCCCTCGTCGTGTGAAATTCAAGCAGTAGTTCAGTTACTCAGTTCTGCTTTTTCGCTTAAGGATCTTGGTGCACTTCATTTCTTCTTGGGAATTGAAGTTCATCGCTCCGTGAATGTCTCTTCTTGAATCAGAAGAAGTTTGTGCTAGAGTTGCTAGAAAAAACGAACATGACAAGGGCAGCTGCTTGCCATACACCAATGGTTCTGGCACCAAAGCTGTCAAAGGATGCTGGAGAGTTACTGCCGAATCCAAGTGAATACCGCAGCGTAGTAGGGTCATTGCTACTTATGTCACACCCGACCTGATTTGTCTTATAGTGTGGGAAAGGTGGCGCAATTTATGCATGCACCACGAAATGCATTGGCTTGCAGTCAAGCGAATCCTTCGATATCTGGTTGGTACGATAGATTACGGGTTAATGTTTCAAGCAAGCAAGGCAGAACTGACTGTATCAGCATTTGCAGATGCTGATTGGGGAGCAAATGTAGACGATCGAAGGTCAATCTCTGGCTATGGTGTGTTCATTGGCAAATGTTTAGTTGCATGGAGTTCAAAGAAACAGAAAACCGTATCTCGATCCACAATGGAGGCTGAATATAAGAGTTTGGCTGACGCAACAGCTGAAGTCGCTTGGACGAGCTCTTTTCTTGCAGATTTGGGGTTTCAGCAGTTGAGAGAGAGCCAGTGCTTTGGTGTGACAACACAGGAGCAGTAGCCATGAGTGCTAATCCTGTGTATCATGCTCAATCGAAGCATATAGACCTCGATATACACTTCGTTCGGGAGAAGGTTGCAGCTGGTCAGTTGAGGGTTAACTACATACCAGCCAGGCATCAAATAGCTGATGGTTTCACCAAACCACTCTCCAAGTCTGCATTTGAAGAGTTTCGCCGCAATGTGTGTGTTGTACCAGGGTTGTAACATTGTCTTAGTAAAAAAAAAAGAAAAAAAAGAGTAGAGGGAATGTAAGCTGTAGACATGCACGTACAATAGCATGGCTATAGCATGTGGATAGTTTCGGTTATATTTGGCGCCAGAGTTTGTTAGATTGTTAGAGCAGTTATTAGCTCAACACCAGCTATAAAGCTGGCATACTTGTGAACTGTAAAGCAAGAAGAAATATACTGATCTTTGTATTCTGTTCTTCAACAGAAACCATGAACGAGAGATCTGCAAGAAGAAACATAAGAAGCAAAATTCGAACCTAAGTGAGCAGTAACTCAACCCCTCGGAAGCCATCTAAGGAGGGTCCAAGTAGCGACGATCCTCCGCCGCTTGAAGTTCCACAGCAGGAGGGGTGTAGTAGAATGAACAGGCATGGAAACCAACTGTCCGTCGCCGACCTTCCCAAATCAACGCACTAATTTCTAAACTATATATGATTCCAAAGATGAAATCTTCTCGATCACCGTCTTTGAATTCCCGTCCACAATGAAGTTTTGAAATCCCAGATCATGTGCAAAATCTATGGCATGAATCGCCGCCCAAGCTTCACCCCATAAAACATAGGTAATTCTCGAAACCTTCCTTCTGCATGCACCTAGAATCTACTAAATGTTGTCACGAATGATGATACCTGACCATGCAAGTTTTGATGCAAGTAATACATGGTCATCAAAATGGATCTTTACAATAGACTGAGGAGGATCTCGCCATCGACCCACAAGGGAGTAGAGAGTATTTCCCAATCGAGCGCTGACAGTGGAAAAATCACTACATTGGTTAAGCATCAGGAGGGAACAATCATGAACAAGAAGCCGGTTAAAGCTTCGGCAGTTGCGGTATCACATGTACATGAGAATGAGCAGTCATATTCAAGTACAGATTCGGTGGATTCTGAAGTTGATCGGAATGCATTGTTTGCTTGGGATACAATGGGTGTCGGACTGTTCGTGCAAGGACAAAACTAATGAATGGAATGGGTTTTGACCATAGCTTTGGTCTTTGGTTCATTGCCACATGACTACAACCAGATTTAATAATTGAGAGTGGTGCATTCAAGTGACACTCCACTTGGGTTCTGTGGCAATGCCCACACATCAATTACTTGAAAATGGGGTTATGATTCCAAAAGGAAAATCACGTGGGTGCAAAATAAAATAAGTGGAAAATCGCATCATGAGTCCTCAAGGCTTGGTAAGAACTTGGTCTTGTCTCATAATTTCTTTTAGTTTTAGTTTATGGCTTAATAGTGTAAATTAATTCAGTTCAGTCCTTAATTTTAATGATTAATTATTAAAGTAGCCCCACAAGTGTTCTATTATACTAATTAGGTTTCCAAATTATTATTTCAATTCTAATAAGCTATCTGTATAGCAAGGGAAATTATATAGATACGAGTTAGTAATTTTGATGGCTTATATCGTGAGGAAAATATTGAAAGTTTGAATTAAAGATTGAGGGCGTTCGAATGGAATTTAAATGGTCGACCAGTATGACACAGAAAATGAGGTAATACATTGCTATCTCTTTATGTTTTATGGAACATGTTATAATGGATAAATGTATAGATATATGTATATATGATTGCTCTATTATTCCTGTTTGATTATGAATGGATTCGAACTGAATATGATTTAAGTGATAAATTACGAAAATACTCATATGTTGTATAATGATAAGAATTGTTCCTGGAAGTTGATTAATAACTCTGAAAAGACATATTGATCTGATAAATTTACAGATGTACATAAGAAATGCTAGTTTTGTTTAGAAAATTTGGATAATCGGTTTTTAACCCGAAGAGGGTTTATGTAAGATATTAGAAGCATGTTAAAGAAAAATTTCAAAATTAGAGAATGTTCGAGAAAGCAATTAATTATAAGATCGTTAAATTATAATTATTTTTATTAAGAATTAATACTGAAATTATTTGGTTAATAAATTATGAAAATGCCCTTGAAAGGTAAATATAGTCTAAGTTGACCATGAACAAGAAGGTACTTTGAGGATTCGTTTTTAACTCGATAAATTACAGAATTTATTATTAAGATCATGTATTGGTATAGAAAATTCCTGGTAACCTGTTATAACATCTGAGAATGAACTTAACTTGAAAATCTCTGAGTTATGAATAAATACATGAATAATAATTTATTGAGTGTGATGTTTTGTCATAATAGTTCGAAGGGACTGACATAAATGATAAGTTTGAATTTAATAATAATATCGGACGGAATGAATAATTGTAATACACTAGATCTGTAAATTGACTAAAATACTCATGGAATGGAAATGATCTAAGAATATCACCAAGCTCAGGAATGATTGGATATCCTCGATCTCTGAAATGAATGGAAAAACATTGAGCACCAAAATGATCAAAATGCCCTTATGGACTATACTAAGTAAATGTCTTCGATTAATTAAGTAATTCAAATAAACATAGGTGTTGTACTACCCTTAAAAATTATGGAACTCGACTTAAGTGAGTTGACCAACGCTAATTTTATGTTAGTACCTGAATAGCATAGATACCACTCGAATCCTTGTTCGTCTCCTCAAGTTTGGATCGATGCTAATTCTGGAAGTACTCAGCTCAGTTCAACTCTAGATCGCATTCGGTATTAATAATTGGATATTTGTTCGACAAATCAACCACGAAGACCGAACTGAACGAAAGTACAATACATATATGAACTCTGAAGTAACCGGAATAGACTTGACTACTAAGTGAAATAAGTAACCTCAATGACTAAGAATTAAATAAGAGATTTGGATGAGTCTAGAAACGTTAATGAACATACATGATGTAATGTTCTTATGGGTCATGAACTATAAATCAAGCACGTCAGCATTTCATGATATCGTGAAAGCGTGAAAATGAAATTAAAAGTATTGGAATATCTGTTAGTTTCCTTAAGATCTATTCAGCGATGATTCCGAAGATAATCTATGGATAATAATTTTTTGTATTAAAAAGTAAATACCCTGGAAGGATAATGAATTTACCAATCGACAAGCATTAATTCTGGGAGATATTCATCTGGAGTTGTTTGGTAATGAAATCAATCGACATAGACTGTAAATGTCCTGAACCTTCATTTCTTCCTTATCAGCTCAAGTCATATTTTGAATAATTGATGATTCCGTCAGATATTAAACTCTTCCTATAGTGATTCTAAATTCCAACATTCTATCGGTATATTGAAGATCTGTGTTTCTCTGCATGTTAAGATTATCCAATACCTCTGAATAATATCTGTAAACTCTGGTGTGTTCCCTAATCACATGAATATTTTATCTGATTTTTTATTTGGATTCTGATTTGATACTTACCTGTATTCTGAAATGATATTTGACATGCATTCTGATCTGATACTTGACCTGAATTATGTTTTGATTTTTGATATATCCGTTTACGGACGGAATATGTTTTATTTGGGGTATTGTTGGGGGAAGAAAACTTGAAGGCTCCTCGGCTTTGTGCTCAGGACCTTACTGGACGTGACGGGGTTGTATGGTTATGGGGAACATACACATTTTGTTCGTGACGGATGGAGATTGTGTTATATATATATATATATATATATATATATATATATATATGTTTTAAAAGATATGTAGTTTTTTACTAGTTTTACCGGAACACACTAGATAACCTATTCTGATCACCTGAACTTATTCATTCAAAATACTTATCTGAACTGCAAGCTCATAGTCCGTTACCCCTGATATATCAGTAGGATCTCCGCTCAGCATAAAATCTGTAGATGTTCGGAATCAATAAGGGAATATATGTTTATTTGTATCTGCGCGTTCTTCAGCATGGTAGTTATGTATTATTGAGCTTTTTAAAACTCACCATGTTACTCACATTTTCATGTTAAAAGAATTGTACCAGTGCATCTATCGACATCAGTAAAGGAGTTCTTGCGGCGTTGAGCAGAGATTATGGGCATGTAATTGTATTTTATTTATAGTCTGAAAATATGTTTATTTGATAAATCATTTTATAAGTTACATGTTTTCATAAAAGTTTTAAATTGTTTGCTATTTTTACAGTGGGTTACTCCGGTGGCCCTAATGTGACACTCGAAATCGGATCAGGTTACCCGCATAGGACTGAATTTCCTTACATATGCAAAATAATTTCTCCCTCCCTAATTGCATTAAGAAACCCACTTCATCATCTCTATAAATCCCTGAAGTTAATTTAAGGTGATAATGATAAATTTGGGATCAAAGCTAGGGATTTGGGTATTAGGTTTAAGGATTTAAGTTTGGATTTATGAATTTAAAGGGATTGTGACAACAACAAAAAGGATGGTCAGCAACGGAAGTCTGACGACGGGTAAGTGATCGTTTGATGATGACGAAGGTGACCAGTGATGATCGATGACAGCTTATAATAAGGTTGAAATAAGAGGTTTAAGGGTTGTATTTTTTTAAAAAAATTATAGTGTTTTTTTAAAATAATATTATTAAGTTTTTTTAAATAAAAATTCAAACAAATATATAAATATTACATGTTTTACTTAACAGGTTTTTTAACAGTCGTTATAGCTTATGTATATAAAAGTGTAACATCATAAATGTTAGGTACATATTTTTAGTGAAAAAGTTTTTAGACACCTAAAGTTAACTCATGTTATAGTTTGACCACTTAATTTTGCTTTAAGCCAAAATATAAACATGATATGTAATACTTAACAATATATTTAACCGTCGTTACTGCGTAAATACCTAAAGTTTCACAGAGAAAACTTTAGATAC